AGAAGAAGAAGAAGAAGAAGAAGAAGAAGAAGAAGAAGAAGAAGAAGAAGAAGAAGAAGAAGAAGAAGAAGAAGAAGAAGAAGAAGAAGAAGAAGAGGGAGCAGGAGGATGAAAATGAAACAGGGAAGGAGGAGGAAGGAGACGATGATAAGGATGAGGAGGAGGAGGAGGAGGAGGAGAAAGAGGAAGACGTAGATAAGGAAGAGGAGGATGGGGAGGATGAACTCACCTCAAGTTGTGCCTGATGCTTGTACTGTGGGTGATGTTGTACGGTTGTCCCTCCTCTGCGGGCGGACACTTCGGTGGCTTCCCATGGCTGGTGACAAACAACACCAGGAGACACACAGCTGCCAGTGACCACTTCATATCCGACGTCAGCTCTTTCGATCTCTTTCTCTTTTTCACTTTTGAAAAATTAATAAAGCAGTAGACCTATTTCGATTCGAACTTCTTTTTCCCACTTGTCTCGGGGTTTTTTGTGCCTGTTGTTCTTCTTTTATTTTTCTTAACGTGCGGGAGTCTATCGGTATCTTCACTTCTATAGTAGGCCCTATAGTAATTCAAATATATTTGTAAAAAAATCTTTTCGTGAATTTTATGCAGCACTCCTTAGTCAAGGTCCATACAACACTCTATGTTTGACCTTTTTCCACCTAAATACACACCCACAATAATAATATGATGTTCTTTCGCAAGCTAGACAGATTTTCTTTACACTTTCCATGCATGTCTGAAGTAAGGTTGGATTGACCTGAAAACTTGGAATCAGCCCACAGATGATCAGTGCAGAAAGCGCTGTGTGAGAGAGGTGAAGTGTGCGTAACTGCAGATCTAAAATAAATGTTAAATATTAGATCTTCACGATACGAACAGACGCGATAGCAGACAGCGCTGGGAATCGCCGCACGACTGGCACACATATCGTCTAGCTAGATCTAAGTCAAGGAACGAATCGTGTAGGCCTACTTTGGTAGCTGTTTCGGTTTCGTGCCGTGGCCAATAGATTAGGAGAAACAGGCTTTGCCACCGCCAACCCCACACCGTCCCACAGAGACGCTACGCTGCTAAAAGTGCTAGCCGCTAGCTTACTGAATGTAAGTGATGTCGTTCCGCGCAGATGTTCTCATTGCTGGTTTTCATGAAATACAAATATATATATA